TTGCGTGACTGGCTCTTTTCAGTTGGCAGGAGCTGCGTATGCTGAGTGCAGTCGAACAATCAAGATATGGCTGTGTTGACTTTTGGTTTATCGGGGAAGCTTTTAAGATGGGAAAGATTCCATTGTTTTTTATCAGTGGAGTTCAATTAGATCAAGTTCTCTGCCAAAACTCGAACAACCCAAAAAATCGTGTGACTTCATAAGGGGTACATTTACTATAAACCTACAGCAGTTGCTTTCCGGTGCTCCTACTTGTCAAATTTAGCCTACAGTACAAGATCAAAGAACAGATTTCAATCAATAAAGTGAAGGTTATAAATAGAATCTAAGTTGGAATGCTAATCCAAATCTTGCCCAAGATCTAACAGGTCAATAAAGGTAAAGCACAACATAAAGTTTTATAGTGGGACAGGTTGCCAACATCTTCAGTAAATTAATTCAGTGGCCTGATGCGGCCAAAAGTGAGCATGAGAATGGAGACCTGTCTGAGGTTGTGCCTGCACTTCATCAAATATTTATGTGACCCTTGTTTTGTTTTCCTGAGGGAATAGTTTTTAAGATATGAAAAAAGGGAGTGCAAAAGGTGGGGGAGCAGGATAAGGGGGAGGGGAGTAGTATGAGAGTCTAATTAAGAAAGAGGAAGAGAGGTAGCAGAGGAAGAATGAGGGAGTCTGAGTTAAAGGTACAGTTAGCTACAAACGAGAAGTGACTTTCCTAAACATTTTAAGTGAGTCTTGAGGGATATGCAACATGTTGGCCTACTGTGTAACAGATTTAAGGACTTACGTTCATAAAAGCACCACAATAGACATACAAGCTCAGCTCACAAGGGTCTCCCCAGAATTTATTGCTACGATGGTATAACCAATTTCAAGAGTGGATTATGATGGTGCAGTGCCAATGTGACACACACACACACCAGACAAACACAAAACTTTGCTTTCTGCAGTCCTGATTTTCTTCGAAAGAAAAGACAGGAAGGCAAAGTCTTGTAACCAGAGAAGCCCAGAGGACTGTGTCACTCAGCACCCTCCTCCACTTTGCCTGAGTCCTCCCAACACAGACCACTCTCTGGCTTCAGGTCCTGTGTACTTGGTTAGCTTCTTAGCTTCTTAGCTTCTCTTGGAAGGAATCGGTTTTCTAAAAGTCAATATGTGAGCAAAAAAAGGGAATCGTCTGTGCAGGGTTTAGCAAATACTCACTGTTTCTAAGTAATTGCTGTGATGTTGAAAGGTCCAAACCTGGTCACAACCAAAGTGATTTGGACTGGAGTAGTGAAAAAGAGGCTGGGCTGAACCGCACCATCTGCTCTGACAAATATATAAATAATCAGCTGCAGTTCATCAGAGCACAGAGTGATTTGGGCTCAGCACAATATGGCCTCAATGTTGCCTTCTGTCAAATTGTGAACTTTGCATTGCACAGTTCAAGCTCCCAACACTGACAGGCTGTTAGCACAAGAAACTGTAAGCACTGTCAGGCCAATCTATTTGTAATAAATAAAAGTTTGCTGCATGCTTGTGTACCAACAAACACTGCCAAAAGAACAGTTTCAGTTTCAGATCTCAGTTTTACAGCTGATTTTAACAAATTCATGCAATCTCTAAACCCCTAAATAATGCTAAATCACATGGTAACAAGCCTAACTTTTGTTATTTATGCTATGTTTGGACACTAGGATGCTAAAACTGCAGTGGAAAACTGCCTCGGTAAAACTTAAAAATGGGTACACAAAATCACAAACAGATGTACATTCACAGGCCCCCACTATGGTACCTTCACATCACAACCTACCAGTATGATGCAGGTAACAGCGGACGACTGGAAAAGATTAGGTAAATGAGACTGCAGCCACCCTTAGAATAGATGACTGTATGATAACTTTGGCGTGGGGATGTGATATCAGAAAAAGATATTGATGGAAGTGAAGGAATAACATTAAAAAGCAGTTTTTAAAATATATCTATCTGCTGTCATTGACCCACCCTTGACCAGCAGACCAACTTCCACTGCTCTCCACACAACCAAACAATGCTGGGACAGGCCAGTCAGTGGAGAGGCAGGGTCAGCCACAGGCTGCTTTCCAATAGATCTTTCTGGTCAAGCTGCAGGCATTGTGAGAGCAAAAGTACCCACTGTTTGGCTCTTGATAGGTTCTACCCATTGATCTGCAACGGGGTCCCAGCTCTAATGAATAATGAATGGCCATATTGTCATCCCACACAGATCACATTTCACATGGCAACGGACTGCACTGGTAATTAGCCAAGCCTTTGCTGGCCTGCAGCTCGCTGTGCTGAACTTGCCAGCCACTGCAGTGCAGAGAGAGTTTGTTGAGGTGAAATTGCAAGAGCACTTTATGATATCATATATAAAGTTTATAATTATATACTACATATTTGCAAAGATCTTTCATTTTAGATCTAGGGTTTAGATGTAGAACTATTTCTTTCACAGAAATTGAGCAGAGGAGCAGAAAGACCAAGAGAAGCAAGGAAGCAAGAAAGAGGAAAATGACTGTATGATGTCGGGTCTGGAGGAACAATTATACGTAGGTCGCCATGCTCTATTTGACCTAGAAACTATAAAGTGTACTTTTCTGAGTCTGTAAGAAGAAAGCTGTGTGACTGGTGATTTAACTGTTGAAACAGACCATGGGAACACCGTTGTCATTCTATGCATGGATTAAGCAAACTGTAGATAGATGGGCAAAGATGATGAGCACCTGATGTCATACAATAACTAGTACTATTGTAACAAATTCACATAACATACAAGTAATGCAGTTTTGTACTGTACTTTTGTGCAACAGGCAGAAACAGTGTTTGTTCTTTGCTTAACTAAGTTAGTTCTGTATAATACTGACTCAACAGTCAAAGGAACAGGTCTCACATCTTGCCTTATCTCACTTTATTCAATAAATCACAATAAAGCACGTACCAAAAAAGTTATTTTTTTGCTTATTTCGCTCGTAAAAATCATCAGTGTGATGAAGTACTAGGTATCCCAGTGTATGGGCCAACATCCTGTTAAAGAATGATACTAACTTTTAACTGTAAAAGGCAGTAAACTAAATGTACTGCACAAATTCCAACTATTGTTGCACCCCTAACCTACAGGACAGATTACAATACAACTGTTATACCACCGACTCCTTTTGTATAGTGCTGTAATTTGTACAATTATTATTCTTAAATTTAAAAAAATATCCCTCCCTTGATGCCCCCATTATGCAAGAATAATGTTCGCCAAATTTAGAGTGGCTAATATGAAAGGCTAATTCAGAACAGCATGAAGTTGTCTGAAATCTGTCCAAACCATGGCTTATAAATCTATTCTCATGTGATGCAGTGGTCTGCAGTCTGCCACAGGAGAACTGCCTATAATATGCTTCTCAAAGTGTGGTATTTAGAGAGATTAAGAGAACCATCTCTACAGGAAGACTAAACGCAAACCAGTTAGCAAACGTTCAGCTGATTGAGTATGACGAATCATTTGAAATTGTTTACAGTTTACATTATGACATACTTTGCCTACACTCTGTCCCTAGTTTAACAAAATCTGAAATATGACTAGTACACATATGCATTAGCAGTAAACTGAGGACAGTAGGTAGCCCACATTATTGGTCATTAAATTAAAAAGCTGTGAAATGGGCGTGTTATAAGAGCATGAGTTTAAGACTTACTAATTTCCCGAACAAGGCTTTCACCCAGGCATTTACTACATAATCCCATTACAATGTAATATCATGAGTTTTTGTCTGCTCTTAAAACGTGTTCTTTCCACTGGGTGATGTGTAGGGGAGGGCTATTAGTGGGATCATGTCATTATCTATAAAAGTAAGCCCATGAAAACACCAATCAAGTGGATGGATTAGACCCTTTCTCTTTCTTTAATTACTGGAAATTGGTTTAACTCTACTGTCTGTGTAATGTGGGGAGGGCCACTTCATCTCTTGTGAAAATCCAGAATCAAGTAAGTGTCTTCATTGTGAATATCACAACTACCCACGGTCATGCAGCAGCCCAGGCTTTAGTCACATGGAAATCAAGACATTAGTTAGTCCATGCAGAGATAAACTACCAGACATAGACTGGTTTCAACACTACTTAATTAAAGGCAAAAAACACAAGTTGCACTATTAGGACTACATGTCACCTATCATGTCATTTCTTCTTATTGAGGGGATGACAAGCTTTAAATAGAAAAGTTGTCAACAGTGGCCCTGAAAGTTAGGACAGCAAGCTTATGACTGGAAGGTCGATGGTTAAGTTGGCCTTGAGCGGGACATAATAACCCCCAACTGCTCCAGTGCAGCTGCTCAGTGGCCCACAGACAAGACTGCGGTTGTACTAAGCATCTCTTAGATGTGACTGTGTGTCAAGTAATGCTGAAATGTGCATTCATCGCTCACCAAACCTACTTTAAATCAATAAAGGTTAAAGAAAAAAAATAAAGATGGTGAAGATTTGTAGGTAATTTGCTGCAATGCTGCATTGAACAAGCAGTGCAGAGAATGGATAGATGGCTGTAGGATTTCTCCCTAACCCAATCCTCAGGACAGGAGAAGGTAACCAATACCACAAACTAATACATCAAGACAAAGATCTTGATTCCATCTACTTTGGATCTTTGATGCCATCAACACACAATCTCAAAAGGTTTACATGGTAGTCGTGTTTTCTTTCAATTTAGTGCAATTTGAGTAGCTATTCAGTTAGAGTAAGTGATATAAGCCATAAAGACGCCAGGTTCATATAACAATATTCACTAGAAATATCATATTCATTATTTCGCCACATCTTATACTACAACAACAAACATTCATGTTCATTTTGGTTTACAGGTGCAACTTGAACTTGGTGTCTCTGACTTGTCAATGCTCTTCTAAAAAGCTAACTGAACGACGTACAAGATACTGATCAGTGTCAGTTATGTAACACAAGGTACAAATTAGTGGATCGTGTTGTGTGGGTCAGAAAAAGGTGTTCTCTTACCTGCAACGGTTGAGTCAGCTGCGATCACCATTACCAACACCGTCATCCCCAGAAACACTGCACGCTGGCCATGGGCATGCATAAGAGCCTTTAGCACCACCACCAAACCCACAGAGGAGACTAAACCTGCCATGGTACGGCGAGGGTAAGGTCAGGGCATTTCACCCAGTTAAGAAGACAAGATTCATTCCAGACGGTGAAGGTTTGGGTTATTTCAGGCTGCGTGGTTTGGTCTCCTTTAGTTCAAGGCCCCTCCTTCAGTAACATGTGCTCGCAATGCAGAAAGGCTGTTGAAAACAAAAGAGCAACAGTGTTACACTCAGAACAAAGCAGCCACATTTACTGTTAATACTTGACCATCACTCCACAGGCTAAACTCAAGTACACGTAGGCACATGCTATTTTTGTGTTATTCAGAACCTTTATTTGATTATGGCTTATTCCAAAACACACAATAATGACAATACTTGTAACACCTGTATTAACAGAAAGACTCATTTAAGCAAGGGACAGATGGAGATAATTCTTCTACAATTTACTTTTTAATTATTTTGTTTAGAGGAAATTTACCATTTCTATTTTTTTTATTTTATTGGTAGGCAATTTACTACATTTTGCATGATGCTGTCTACACTGGCACTTTGTATTTGTAAAAAAAATAATAATAATACATATTTATTATATATGTATCTCACAATTTAGACACACAGAAGCAGAATACCATAAAAAAAAGAAAGTCCCCCAACCCCATGTTAAAATAAATAATAAAAACTGGTGCACACAGGATGCTTTTATGTTGTGAGAGCCACATTTCATGCACATGGCCAACCAGGTCACTACAAGTTAACGTTAATCACATTCGTCAACTAACCACAAATTAGGAATTATTATCCCATTAATCGAGATTAAACTAACTCCACATAGGCGGATAAACGTGTAACGTGGTGGAAAAAGGCAAAAGAGGAAGGCACAAAGACCCAGCACGGACTTCATCTCCCCCGGCTTGTGTCTCATCAGTACAGTCTCTTGTCCTACATCCCGTCCCGTTACTTGCAACTTAACGGCCATGGCTCTCCACAAGGCTAGACAAAAGCAGGTTACATCCCCTTATGTGAGGTGACACAGCAAAACGCTTAAAACAGGTTAGCCAACACACTTTGGTAGTATTTCCCCAGCTAGCTATGAGAGCAAGGATAATACGTTTTTTCCCCCCCAGCCATTCCTGTCAGCCCTTACTCATAGCTGCGCATTCAGACTTACCAAAAAAAAACAGAGAGAGAGAGAGGACCAACTCTGTCAATTCCTTTGTCTGGGTGGCGAGCAAATATCCGTGGGTGGAATTAAAAGCTGTCTGAGGCTCTGTCATTAACCTTCGTGTGACCACCTGAAGTTGTTTCAGTGTAAACGCACTGTGCATGAGCTGGGAGCTGGCTTTCATCTGACACTCTTTTGGTGAACAGTTACCTTCTCTCGTCCCGAGGATTGGGTTAGCCCCGCCCCCTGGCAGATCTGATTAGTTTCTAATTTATCGAAACGCGCTCTCATTGGCTGCTGCTCTTTTCCGTCAAAGTGGGGTTTTAGTAAATTAGGTTGGTCCTCCTCGGCTGGCGTCTGCGGCTTCCACGGCAACGTTGCCTCATGCGATGATGCACTTTTAGCAAGGTATGGCCATGGAAGGATATATGACTGTCAGCCTTTTTTATTGGCTGAATGGAGTTTATCTACTAATCATAACAAGAGTTATCAAAGTGACACCATCTATGTTTCTGTAAGGTTTTTTTTTTTTAAATATAGCCTACTGGTTGTTGTACTCCCATATGCCTTTTAATTTAGAATTTCCATCAACATTTATAAGCCTATTTAAGAGCATTTGTTATTTACACTTAACTTGTCAAGACACACCAAGGATGCACACTTATGCAAGATTTATGTCAGGATGTAGAGGTTCCACATTAAAAGAGGCTGAGATATGGGCCCCTGATGCATGCTGTAAACACCGTGCTTAGCAAGGTTTGGTGGTTGAACATAAATGGACATGATCAGCACAACCTAATCACGTCAGTGCCAGTTTATGTGCATCAACATTACGGTGCACACCGCCACCTAGTGGCAGTATCTTATAACTAATAACAGCACAGCTAGTAATGCTTGATCAGTTGGGCTTTCAGTGACATTTTCTGAACATTTAGTTGGTATTGTATGTGCTATGATATCAAATGGAATGGAAAATTACATAATAAAATGTCTCTTTACAAAATTACTTAATAATTTTATATAAAAAGAGCTGCCAGGTGCCTATTATCAGTTTATACTATTTTATTACAACTCCACTGCCTTCCAGAGACAAATATTGTAGTTTTTATTCCACTGCATTTATTTGTGAGTTATAGTTATGGCTTCTTGTTACTTTCCAGATTCAGATTGTACACACAAAATGTACAATATGATGAGCTTAAGCAACATATTGTTATAGATTGAAATACCAATCAGTATATAAGATAAGATAAAATACCTCTTCCTCGACCAGTTATTACAATATCATGCAATTTACACATTAACTAACAATCCTACACTTTAACTCACAGTATGTATCTTTATCATGAGTACTTTCACTTTTAATATTTTACACAATGATTTTGGACTTATCCATTTAGGATTTTTACACTTTTTTATACAATAAATTATTTATACTTATGTATAGGAATGGAATACTTCTTCCACTACCGGATTCAGTGTCTTGCTCAGAGCCACTTTGACAGGATGTATGCTTACCAACACAGGAATTTAAGGTGATGGATGGTTCTTTTGACCACTAATCCAAAATACATCTTACCAAGGAGAAAAGCCTGCTTCATATAGCTTAATAAAATAAATCCTTTGGTCCTGAAATATAGTAAGTTGAACACACTGAAGCCCCTATACAACCATGGTCTACCAACACAGGTGTTTTCACTTGCAGGACAACTGACACCTAAATCACTGTAATAGATACATGTAGTTTGGTGACCTCATGCAATTCCTAGGACAGCTCCTCCCAACATCAAACTTCAGATAATCAGTCTAATCAGATAGAAAAAGTGAAAACACCTCTGTGCATGGCCTTTAAATGTCACGATGGAATAATGGTGTGAAGAACACTTATTGTATATTTTTATTTCCTTTGAGTTATATGCTTAAGCACTCACCACAAACCAAAACACAGATACACACACCACAGCATAAAACAAGAGACTGGTGCCGTGACTTAACAGTTTAATGTAAATCCAAGACAAAGTGTGATTACATTTCTACACATATACAATATGCATATGTGAGCATACAAATTCTCATTAATAACTCGATTCACCTCGGAGACCGAAAAAATGATCAAAAGTAACAGTGAATAACAAGCTATAACATAGTTCACCACAACGCGAGCCCCTTCTCACCCTACAGTTAGTAAAGAGGACAATTAAAATAACTATATTCTTCTATTTGACGAAGCTGTTTGTCTGTTAAAATCCTCCTGTAAAATTTACAATGCTATCATTAGTTTTTTTGAAGCCTAATATAAATTCACTCCATTTTTCTACAACGAAAATGATTAAGAGAAGCACACAACATCATAATGGTAACACAAGCGCTTAGTAGCAAGTACTCAACTTGTTAGGAGGTTTAATTAATCCTTCTTCTTATTGTCATTATTATATTTATTTAAACATTCTATAAAGCCAGTAAAATATCCATTCTCATAACATACTTAATAATATTAAGCTAAGGAACAGGGTATACATAGAACGCTACATCAACAGATTGAAATAATGAGACATCACACCCCAATAAACAAAAAGTAAATAAGAAAAGACAATTAACAGAGAAGTATACTAGGAAATACTGCAGCACACATTAGCTTTATCGACAAAGAATGAGATTTTACACCATTGAGAAACCATACAGCAATGGACACAAAAGGGGGTCAGGGTTTGATGCGCTCTTAGGTTTTTAGAAAATGTAAATTAACTGATATAACACTTGAATGAATAAAGTTGTGCAAGTAGCTGTTTTAGCAATTGAGCTACACTAATTAACTGTTAGAATTTACCAAAAGGGATTGTGACTTAAACCTGACCTCTAGCTGAGGATGAATATTTTTGGAGTGTAAATGGGAAAATCTAACTTTAATTGTAGCTTTGGTCTACCACTTCTAGATTCCATTTATTGACACCACAAAAACAGCCATCTTTAGCTAGAAATCTCTCTGAAAGTAAGATGGGAAAAACTACATTTTTTAGTTTTGTAAAGTCAGACCAAACATCTTACAAACACAGCGATTTGGCGATTTAAGGTGGTATAAATTAATCCGTATCCTTGCTTGGTTTCACACAAATTAGAATTAATGAAGATAGTAGGAAAGCAATTGTATTTGAATCAGTTTTGGTTCTTAAATTCATACATTGTAATCATCTGACAGCCTTTATCAGTGATGGCATCAAACCTTGACCACCTCACCCTGAATTCCCCCAAGGAATAGCCAGCAAAAGGAGCAGATCTCCTCAACAAAGGTTAGAAAAAAAAAAAAACATACACTCATCCAAAAGGGCTTTAAGAATGCTTGTGTAGCTAGATTATGAATTTCCTGGTGACAGACAGTACATCAGCTCATGATTAATCCACCTAACACCTGTTCCTAACCCCTTTGTACTTTGGGAAGCAGCTGCAACTTTGCCAAACGGTTTACACTGTACGTGTGTGCAGGTTGATGTTGCGGGTTGTCAGTTCACTTCTTGCTGAGCTTCAATTCACTTTGAAGAAGTTTGCCTGAAGACTAATGTAGCACAGTGTGCCATCTTGCTCTCAGGAATGTTTCTAAGAATTTTCTAAGTTCCAGGAGGAGGAGGAGTATTCACGATAACACCATGAGCAAAATTATAAGTTTGAGTGCATTTTATAGGAGAATGCCAGACTTCAGGGTGGGATACTGCCTTATTTACTTTTCTCTAATTTAAATGTCACCTTGAACCTTTGGAGGTATTGTTGGTTATTTGGAAGGCAGTACTCTAACAATAAAGTCGCTAGCTGGGAAGGCTATGCTCACCTCAACAACACAAAACATTTTTACACTCTACTTAAGCACATTTTGGTAATTGTAAGGTCACTCGATCTACGTTAATGCTCACATTTCTGATTCCCCTTTCTTATAAAACACACAAAACATTGGTTATGTGAAACAGAGCAAAAGACAAAGGTATCATACACATCAAGTCATTTTCCACAATGCTGCGCATACAGGGCTTCTCTTAACTGGATGTTTCATTTGAGAAAATAGCAATTATTTGATATCCCCTAATTATGAGGATAGTGGTAATTTTACATTATTTCTCTCTTACATTATGGGATTTTGCTGGAGATCAGATGTATAATTATTGCATCATGCATGGCCACAAACGGTGTAGAAATTAAATGAATGGTCACCCACTGAGAAAGATCTAAAGCCATTTCAAATGTCGCAGGTCACGTATTACATTCATTTTGTGCAGGTGACCATGGTTTTAAAGGTATAGTTGGTACATTTTTGATTAATTCATTTTTACAGATCATTCTATTCCATGGCACGCTAATGTAAAACAATTTTTTTTTTACAAATTCATATTCATACAACACCAATAAAGCTACAACATCAACAACGTAAAAAATAACTGGCTTAACAATTTGGAGAGAGGTTAGATAATTATTGATCATTCAATCTAGACAGGGGCCAAGTGTGGGGAGTAATGGAGGTAAAGCATGACAAGCTTTAAAACAGACTGCAGCTCTTCTCATAGTTGAATATCCAGATTCTACGCAAATTAATGACTGTGCTGTATGCATTAAGTATGTTAAATCCTCCCTGTGTACTTGTACATCGAATGCCCACATGCATTTGCTTGGGGGTAAAACAACATATCCTCAAAAGCACTTTTAAAGATTAGATCAGAAGTTATTGCCTGTCTGTCTCTAGCAACGCTGTGGAGGATTGCTTGTATTGTACTGTGCTGTACACGATCAATCTGTTGAATTCTTTGGTGGGAGGAGCGAAAAAAGTCCTAGTGTGACGATGCTATCCCCATGCTGACAGGAGAGAGGACAGGACAGCAGTGTAGCATGGGTAACGCAAAATTCCCTCCAACAGTGGAATGTTTCAGTAGTCTGTCTCAACAGAGGAGCCAACAGATTTCAATGAAAAATCATCTCCCTTATGCGTGTGTGCTTAGGCCCCAATGACCTAGAGGAAATTAAGTAGATAAAATAAAATAAAAAATACACAACAGAACAGAGAAGAGTGATGTAACCAGCAACATACTATGTAATCACATCTTTAACTGCCTGCACCCTAGGCTTGCATGCTGGAGCTGACGGGGAGTGGAGAGATTTGGGGAAACAAGTACCAGGATGACAAACCACTTTGCGGCCCATCGAGAGACTTTTGAAGAGATTGATGGATTTC